GGAGGAGACACAGTTTTGTCGTAACCGGAGAGAAGGGGAGAGTGGCGGAGACGGGGGCATCTGTAATTAGGTTTAGAAAGGGGCCAATTTTTTTTTTTAATCTTTTTAAAATTATATTATATTTAATTATTAAAAAAAATTTGTTATAATTATAATTAATCTAATTACGAATTAATAATTAAAACAATATAATTTAAGGATAGTATTGTCATTTAGAAAATATTTAGCTTAAAGGGACAATAAATGAATGAATTTAACCTAAGGGGACAATGTCCAAACCTAATTGACTTAAAAAAACTATTTTCTCAAAGAAGAAAGAAGTAACATGCATGTAACACGTTTATATACATACGGCTCTGGTCTACTTATCTTTTTGGCTAGCAGAATATTGGTGACAGACCATAACTGAAATATACAAAAACATAGATATAATATCCAATCAACAGAAAGAAAACCCAAAAACGTAAATTTAAAATTGACATAAATATGGTGCTATAATTATATGAAATAATAAAAATAGATCCGTCATTAAGTAATACACGTAATTAACAATGCGTGTTGAGTTGAACTAAGAGTTAAAGCCGTCCATATATATATACCACACTATTTGCGATTGAAACGGCTAATAAAAAAAAAACGTAAGAGACGAGAAAAAAGAGAGAGAGAGAGAGTAATGGAGAAGATTGTGGAGGTAGGTTATGGGGCATCGGTGAAGGCAGTTTTAACGTTGTTGGAGGAGAATCTGTTGCCGGATGTGGTCATAAGGCTACTAACGCGGCTGCTTCTCGCCGGTCGACTTCGTTCTAGTTACAAACCCACGGCGGAGATGCAACTTTCTGATCTACTCCGTTTTGTCAATTGTAAGTCACACACCTAATTGATCCTCTATTTTTAGTTTTTTTAAGTCTTAGAATTGTTAAAAAGAAAACTATTAATTTATATTTTATATAAAATAATAATAATAATAATAATTTAGATTTTGTCAATAATGAGTGATTGTGGCGGTCTTGTACGAACTGGTGTTTAGTACTGTCATAACACAAGTACGATATAACACAATGTACTTTGTTGTTGTATTGTTGTTTGATTGTCATGTGTGTTATGTGTAAGTACTAAATACCAAGAAATATTCTTCGTTTTAGAAGAATCAAAAAGGTTCTTTTTTGGTTGAAAACTTTGTGATTATTTATTGTTTAGATATTGTTGTTGAGAGATCTGTGGACACGAATCTTCTCCGTCTTTTAATTAGCTGCATGATTAAAAAGTTACATGGTGCTAATTTTTATCTCCAGGATCTAAGCATATAGTATAAGACTAGGTCAAGATCTTAATTATATGATAGTTTTGCTCATGATAGATTCTGCGTCTTGTCTTATACCACTGCGTATCCACACAAAAAAATTATAATATTTCTCCAATCAAATAATGGACATAGTTTGTTTAGGTTGTGACTTGTGAGTGGGAAATTTGGAGTTAATTAGTGATCATATTAACGTCTGATATGCATAATAATAAAAGAACGGGATGTGAATCATGTGATATGATCACCTAATTGATCCTCTATTTTTTTGGGGGGGGGGTTTTAAGTTTTTAGAATTGTTACAAATAAAACTGTTAATTTAGATTTTATATAAATAATAAAAATAATAATAATTTAGATTTTGTTAATAATGAGTGACTGTGACTTATAGTTGTACGAACTGGTGTTTAGTGTTGTTAACAATACAAGTACAATATGACACTATGCTTCTGAGATTTAGTTCCGTCCGTGACCAAACTACTTTAGTGGACCACTGTACTTTGTTGTCGTGAGTAAGATTCTTTGATGTGTGTTGTGTAAATACTAAATACCAAGAAATATTCTTCGTTTTAGAAGAATAAACTTTTTTTTTTGGTTTAAAATTTGTAATTGTTTATTGTTTAGACTGTTGTTGAGAGATCCGTGGATACAAATCTTCTTCGTCTTTTATCGCTACGTTATCGCTAGAAATGTTTTTTTTCGGTCTAAGCCTTAATGTTTATAATTATACAATATTGGTTCGCGTCTCCATATTGTATTTCATAATAAAAATACAGTTCAGAAATAACACATTTTCATGTTTTCAGAAAATATTTTTGTAAAATGTAAGAAGAAAAATTAAATTACTGCGAGTGAATTTCTCCTTGTGTAGATTTGTTAACACAATATTATATAATAAATGAAAACGTATAACAATATTAGAAGTCATGTTACCACAATGAGTCGCATATGATAAATGTACATTTTCAGCTCTAAAAGAGATGCCTATAGCGATCAACACCGAGAAGCCAAAGACGCAACACTACGAATTACCAACAGCTTTCTTCGAACTTGTTCTTGGAAGAAACATGAAATACAGCTCTTGTTATTTCCCAAACGATTCAAGTAGCTTGGAAGAAGCAGAGGAAGCAATATTGGCTCTATATTGCGAAAGAGCTAAGGTGGAAGATGGACAAAGTGTTCTTGATGTTGGATGTGGCTGGGGATCTTTGTCTTTGTACATTGCTCGCAAGTATAGCAATTGCAAGTTAACCGGTCTATGCAACTCAAAAACACAGAAAGCATTTATTGATGACCGATGCAGGTATTTAATTCCAAATCTATAAAGTTTCAACTACTGTGATATAAAAAGACTTCATAAATGGTTTCTTTTACTTTGTCATGTGTTTAAAAGGAAACTTGGCATTCAAAATATTGAAATCATTGTTGGGGATATTAGCACTTTTGAGCATGAAGGGACATATGATCGAGTGTTCTCCATCGAAATGTTCGAGGTTAGGATATTTTTATAATTTAAGAGCATCATCATCAAATTCTTTTTTTGTGAAACACTGCATCATCATCACATCGAAACTCATATGCAACTCTTAACTCAAATTAAAATTTTAAGTAAAAGATATTGAAATTCCCACCAAATGTGATATTGGCCATTCATCATATGCCACATGTAAACCAATCTCACAAATTTGGTAGAGTTTTCACATGCCCTATAAGCTTTATTATCAAGTTATTTTTTCTCAAAAGAGAAAACAAAAGAGAAAAAAGTTATTTTTCTCAAAGTGAAATATTAGCACTCTTTAATATGTTTGATTGAGGTGTGATTTCATCAAAGAGAAGAAAAGTTCTTAGCATTGACTCTCTATTTGGATTGTGATTAGCATATGAAAAACTATGGAAAGCTTCTGAAGAAAATTGGAAGGTGGATGAAGGAAGACAGTCTTCTGTTTGTTCACTATTTCTGCCATAAGACATTTGCTTACCACTTTGAGGTATACATAGTGCCCAACTCGACTGATAATTATCTTTTTTAACTATAATGATTTCACCATTTTTTTTTCTCTTGGCAATAATACAATCTTTGGGATTATGTTGATTCCCTATATAGGATGTGCATGATGATGACTGGATCACAAGACACTTCTTCAGTGGAGGAACAATGCCATCGGCGAATCTTCTCCTCTATTTCCAAGTAATATACATTATATAAACCATCATCTTTGTCGCACTTTAATATCATCAATCCAAACATATCATTTTAATGTTCAGGACGATGTTTCGATTGTGGATCATTGGCTCATAAACGGGAAGCATTATGCAAGGACCAGGTACAAACTCTAAAATTGTTGATAGTAAGTTAGTAATAGATGATTTTATCTTGTAATATTTGTTACTTGATATATAATACAACTTTTCAGTGAAGAGTGGCTCAAAAGAATGGACAAGGAGATAGTTGCAATAAGGGAGATAATGGCAATGACTTATGGGAAACAAGAGGCAGTGAAGTGGATGGTTTACTGGAGAACCTTCTTCATGGCAGTTGCTGAGCTTTTTGGATACAACAATGGAGAAGAGTGGATGGTTTCACACTTCCTGTTCAAGAAGAAATGATTATATTTTCCTTCTTCTAGTAATCAGTTTATGAGTTATCTTTAATTGTGTGCGCCAAATAAAGAAACATTCTCCTTCTACTTTGAGTGATATGTCTTACTAAGTAATAGAATCGTATTCATTCGGATCTTTCCTATATAAAAATGTAGTTCAATGGATTTTACTGTTCCAAAGAGACAGTGTTATTGAGAAATATGGTCAATAATGTAAATCTTGAATCTGTTGTAAACTCTGTTTCCACCCATTTGAAACCGAAGGTTGGATAACCAGTGAGTTTTGATCCTTAAGACTCGACCGTACAAGTTAGCTAGCTTTACTTTGGTCACTTATTGATGTTTCTTTGAAACCTACAGATGGAGAAAGAAGCACGTGAAGTGATAGTGGAAGATGGGAGACTATTGTACAAACAGAGCATAACTCTGATTAATTCAACTGAGGAATCAATGCGCATGTGAATATGAATGCAAATACAACACACATACATAAACGTAGTTACGTCTATCCACATAATATTTACATATTTCAATAATTAATTAAATTTTGTTTTGGAAATGTTGTACTATTATTTTTAGTTATTTTAGCTATTTTCTCGATCATAATTAAGAGTTCAGGATATCATTTAAATTTAAATCTTTACCAAATCTTAATTTTCTAAGCTAGGGAGAACTCTGTGGGTAGGTGTAAAAGCATCGGTTAAACTATACAAAATCTACCGCAAACGCACTAACATTTCTTTAGAATCATTGACAAAAATTCGTTTTTATTTAATCGGAATATTGATGGAAATGGAATCTTACATATAGAATCTTAGGACATAATGTTTTAGGTGAGATCAATATAAAAAATACGTCATGATCCTGGTGGACAACTATAAAGAGACTATAAGAGATCACAACAAAGAAAATGGATCCACTTAAATATATAAACTAGTAGTATTAATTTTAAAAATAACTATGGGCTTACGTGAGCACATGTGGCAGACACGAAATTGAAGACAACACCATCAACGGTGCTCGTATAATCCCACACATCTCTCTAAAGTCCGTTTCAAATTGGGCTCCATTTCATCTATTTCTACACATTTATGCTTGTCCTCTTCTTCATGTAGTTACTTGCTCATGTAATAGATCTCTATGTTGATGATCTATGTGAGGTGATTCAACTTGTGTGACAAAATGGACTCCTTACTCGTCATGGTTGTAAGAGACCTTAGACCAACATCGCTAGAACTAAAAAAAAAAATTTTAAAATATGATCAATCGCGAACCGTCACGTGTCAGTGGAACTCGTAAACAGTACAAAAAATTCTAAATAATCGATCCTCAATTCACAACTTCTGTTACCGATTTTTGTTGATTTGTGGACCTTATATATGTTAAAAACCCGTTAAGAAACATGGATAAACATGCTTTTATCATCATGATGAAAATCACTTAGGCTAAAAATTATGAAAACAACGTATATGTTCGAGGTTTCTTGGAGACGAAATAGATTCTAAGACTCCGTTATGACGGAATCAACGACAACAGAATCTCAACCTAAGTTGCCATGGGATGGGATTGGTATCTTTTTACATAAAATAACATGAAAACATTAATGCTTTGTCATAATAGCAAAAGTGTAAGCTTAAAGAATACTATGCAATAACTTAGTTGTACTGGACTTTAAAAGTATAACCACTAATATACAGTTTAGAAGCTTAATTAACTAATCAAAATATAAAACTTACAAAGGCATTACTATACATATAAGAGTATTCGTGTTCCCTGATACTAACCTGAGTACGAAATAATATTATTGCGAATACAATTTGCATTCACCTTTTCCCATTTGAAAAGGTCAACATCGGCAATAAAATCTAAAATCGATCTAGCGCGTGATTTTTGGAACTTCCATGCATTTAACTCACAAAATAAATAATTTCAAAAATACATAAAACAAATAGTCCAATGAGAGAAAGAAAGTAAAAAAACAAAACAAAAGAAACACACTAAAGACACAGTACTATGTGATGCAAGCAACCACATACACCACTCTTCTTCTCTTCTCTTATATTATTGGCTATTTTGCTTCCCCTAGTTATTATTTTTGTTTATTATTTCATCACTAATGATTCATTTTTGTTGGTTCAACCTCTTTTGATTCTTTCTATATTTTTTTGGAATACTTTTTTTTATTGGAACACCTTTGATTCTTTCTATATATACAAATATAAAATCCCCTCTTCCTCTTAAACCTCTCTCTCTCTCTTTAACATGCCTATGATGCAAGAACTAAGCTTAGAACGTTTCTCCAACGACGTCTTTCCCTTAGACCTAACTCCTCCTTCTCAAACCTCACCTACTTCTCTCTCCATAGACGAAGAAGAATCATCCGAGGCCAAGATCCGACGGCTGATATCAGAGCATCCAGTGATCATCTTCAGCAGATCTTCTTGTTGCATGTCACACGTCATGAAAAGACTCCTCACTACTATAGGAGTTGTCCCCACCGTCATCGAGCTTGATGATCACGAGGTTTCCTCTCTCCCTATGGCTCTTGAAGAAGAATATTCCGGCGGTAGCTCAGTGGGTTTTCCCTCTCCGGCGGTTTTCATTGGCCGTGAGTGTGTTGGTGGCTTTGAGTCCCTCGTCGCCCTCCATCTAAGTGGTCATCTTGTCCCTAAGCTTGTCCAAGTTGGAGCTCTTTGGGTATGATTGTAATTTACTTCTTGCTTTTTTTATAGTACTTTACAGTATCAAAAGCAGAATTTTAGGGTTTCTCTTTTTTGATTATTTTCTGATGATCAAAATTATATACCCATGTTAGAAAATGAATTATGAATAATAATTAAAGATGTGTAATAATTAGTATAATTTGCTTCTTCATCTTCTCGCTCACTTACTACAGTACACCTTAATCAATCAACCTTAATTATGAATGGGATTAACTAGGATAATAAAATATGATCCAGTTGTATAATGATTAAAGTTTATTTATTTTATTTAATATCATGTTGATCAGATATGTTAATCATGGATATATTGGTAAAATGAAAGAGGTTTATGGGAATGTATTGTGATTGACATGCAATTGAGTTTTGTTTCCCATATGCATGATAGGATTAATTAGTTTTCGTGGTTCATCTGAGTAGTGGTTATTTGAATCGAGTACCTTCTTTATCAGCACGAATAATCATTTTTGGTGATTATTCTGTTTTATGGTGATTATATGGATGCGTTGTCGATCTGAAAGTTAATTTCATTGTTTATGTTAATATTCTAAAGAATAAAGTCGAGAATTGAGTAAAGAAGATTCTACTATTAGTTGTAAGGTCTCGAGCTCCAGCCTTCAAGGAAATATTCCTCTTTATTAAAAAAGAATCAGAATTTTTCATTACTGTGTGCCTTGGTAGAGTTTATGCAATTTTGCAATACATTTTTAATTATTCGATTATAAGTTCGAATTAATAAGAATTGGAAAATGGGAGACAAACTTTCAATAATTGAGCAGGCGTTTTGACAGCGACTCTGGCATCTCCAAAAACAGTTATTGAATTTCATCTTCTTTGGAGTTGAGTAAATGGAATAGAATGATATATATATATATATATATATATATATATATATATATATATTTCCATTAAGATGGTTTTGTAGTAGGATTAAGAAAATAAGGTCAAACGTCCAAGTTCCAAATTTCAAGGATCAGGAATGACCTATGCCGCATCAATGATAGATACTGATGTCACACGACACTGCTATTTTACCAAGAGCTTGGAATGGTTTGGTTTGAAATTGTAGCCTTTCTTTTTTATATACACATAGGGCCTGCCCTAAAAATTTTAAATGCGTTAATGATTTAGTAAATATTTTAACATTTTATTTTATTTTAACAAATTTAGAGGTCTATATTTACGCAATTTCGTGAACTATAGACCAATATTTCATTTGGGTTTGCCGAACCTGATCTGTACACACAATAACCATGATAATAATATCTAATAAGATAATACAATAATCATACATCGACGATAACCTAAAATATTACAAGACATCAGTTAATAATAGTTTCCTAGTTTAATTTACGATGAACCTTAAATCATGTAAGTGCTCATTAGTGTAAGTTATGTAATTGTAATAGAGAACTAAAAGTAAAATAATAGGTAAACAAATGTAAACTCATGCACCGAAGTGTAGGCAAATAAGTTTCACATCTAAAATTGAAAACAAAACGTTGCCGACTTATACAATTTGGTGGGTTGTGTGAATAAAATTTTTGTGTGTGGGATCATGTGACATGTCTTCCAAATTAAGGTTATGCTTTTAATATATATTTTTTAATTTGCAAGTTGATGAATACTGATGGCAACGATGACCTCATCAACCATAAACAACAATCTCTCCAACAAATGTTTATTGATATTATAATATTTAGAATAATATGATATAAATCATTTATAAAAAAGATACTCAGTGCCTCCACACCAAAAGCATTTTTCAGTTAAATTGTATAGTGTAAACTATAGAGAATTATTTGCTCAATTATTGGATCATTGTTGTCCGTATTGCCATTCTTCTTATTTTGACACAATTAATACGATGCAATTTTCGCGTAACTCTGAAATGTGATAGCACCTCATGCACTAAGAATTTGATTGCTTGTTTTCAAGACGTACAAGGACATGCGATTATAGTTTATTAGTGCTATTGATATGTTATTTTTGGTTTTTATTGAGGCACCACTCACACCAGTCTTTAACATATACTACAAGTGAAATATTGGTTTAGAGTTCCACAACTTCTGAAAAAAATTATATGGATATATAGCCTTAAGTTTATGAAAAAAATGTTTTTATTAAAATATTTACTAAATCATTTACTGTTTCCATAATTTTTTTGACCAACTCTCAAAAGAGAAACGAAGTTTAAAAGAAGAGATATTAGGGCTGAAACTGTAATAATTAATACTAAAACAATTTGATTCCTTCGAGTTTGACAGCACAAGTTCCTTCGTATTTGGAAAAAGGATGACACTAAAATACATCTCGATGACCCACCAACACTATTCTCCAAAATTTAATATACCAAAAGATATTTACTAATAGTGTTTTATTTTAATTGTTTAACTAAATAATTGATCCGAGATATACGCTACTATAAAACAAAATCTGCAGTTTTACTTGTCTAAAAACTGTAAGAGTTTTTTTTTTTCCTATCATAATAATTCGGATGTCACCAATGCATATTTAGTGAAAGCTCGTCAAGTTTTTAAAAAAACAAAATGAGATGGTTTTATATACATATGTAGAATTTTCATTTGTTCTGTTCTGTCTTTACACAATCATTACCTTAGGTTCTTTTTAATGTAGTTTTCAAAGACAATAAAACATTACGATCTTGAGAGGACAAACTCCTTAAGCACAAATAAAAGTTTGAAGGATAACAAAACAACAAAACTCTCGCATAATCTAATAATCTGCAGTTCTTTAGGGTGTCATGGACTTGGTCTTGACGCCAATCTTCTTCCAAGAAACACTAGGCATGATTTGCTTTTTGTCCACACGATCCCTAAACTGAACAGCAAAGTTGAGCAACGAATCAAGAAGTGACTCAGACATATAATGAGGCTCAAGTCCAAGTTCCATCAGCTTTGTGTGCTTTGCATTGTAGTAATGCTCTTCCGCCTCCACTCTCGGGTTAGGCACCGTCATCTTTGTCACGTCTAGCCCCAGCTTTGAACCAGCTTTAGTCACCAGAGAAGCCAGTTCGTTGACTGAAAACTGTTCTGTGAACTGGTTGAATACCCTGAACTCACCAGCCTTTGCTGGATTCGCTATAGCTAGCTCAACACATTGAACCGTGTCTCTTATATCAAGGTAGCCTCTGGTCTGCAAATAGGAAACAAATTGAATAAAAACGAATATTCAAAAAACGATAGGCGGGGTAACTAGCTCTTTGCACATTTTAATTTATTTTTATATATTTTACATTTACATTAGATATTTTAGTTTTTTGGTTTACTTTTTATAAATATGTTGATGAATTATAAAAATTACATATACAAAAAATAATAAACTAGAAAATTTTGTGATTTTGCATTAATACTATTGTTTAATTTAATAGATTTATACGAATTTAGATTTATTTATACTTTGTTCAAAAAAAAGATTGATTTATACTAATTTATATCGATTTAGACCAATTTTACAAATTTAAAACGGTTAAATCGATTTGAGTTGTAAAATCGGTTTTATAAATATTTTTTTGGCTATGGCCAACTTAGCGCCTAAGCCTAAGTGAATGCTTAGGTGCGGTCTAGACCGAATTTTAGAACATTGATAAAAAAAAAAAAAACACATCAAATTTCCACAGACGAAAAAGTCATTTACCTGACCACCTTTACCATAAACCGTAAGTGGATGCCCAACAGCAGCTTGCACACAAAACCGGTTAAGAGCAGTACCAAACACAGCATCATAATCCAACCTATTACGCAACTCCTCATGCATCTCAGTCTCATCAGTCTTCACACCATATACAACTCCCTGATTAAGATCAGTAGCTCTCATCCCCCACGCCTTGCAAGTAAAAGCAATGTTGTGGGAATCATGAACTTTACTAAGATGATAAAACGAGCTCGCCTGCTTCGGATACGGCAGCGTATCAGTCCTACCGTTATGCGTTATCGTTATATAACCTTCCTCGATATCGATATTCGGAGTTCCATACTCACCCATCGTCCCTAACTTCACTAAATGACAGTCTTCTCGAAACTCTTTGATCGCAAAGAGGACGTTGAGAGTGCCTATGACATTGTTGTGCTGCGTAAAGACCGCTCTTGAACGGTCTATCATAGAGTAAGGCGCTGAGCGTTGTTCACCGAAGTGAACAACTGAGTCAGGCTCAAAGGAGTTGAAAGAGTCAGCTAAAAACTCAAAGTCACAGATGTCTCCGATGTAAAGCTCGATAGTCTTCCCTGTCAAGGCCTTCCAGCGACTGATACGGTCGTGGATCGAAGCTATGGGAGTTAGTGACTCGAGACCAAGCTGGTGGTCGAAGAGACGTCTCACGAGATTGTCAACGATGGCGACTTCGTAGTTTTTTTTGGATAAGTGGAGAGCTGTGGCCCAGCCGCAGTAGCCGTCTCCACCAATGACCATGACACGTTTTGGTTTGGATGATGAGTTGTTTGAAGATGTTTCAGGTGGTGCTTGTTGGGTTGTAGGTAGAGCAGATGCTAGGAAGACGCAGCTTCTTCTTCTTGGGGACTTCTCTTGGAAGAGAAGTCCTTTAAGAGGAGAGTTAGAAAGGGGTTGAGGGTTGAAGACGGTTTGGTTAAAATCAAACGGTTTAACCGAGTTCTTGCTCTTGCTGCTGGTTAGGGAGATGACTGAAGGGGGTGAAGCTGTGAGTAGATGCGCCATTTTTAAAAGGTTTGTTCTTGATCCTATCAAGACAAAAAGTAGCGAAAATTTAGGACAATGTGGTCAACAGAACAGGGCATATCTAGTAGATTGGTTTCTCAGTGTCATTAACAACCAAAACAAGTGAAGATTCTGTAAAAGTTCACTCTCTTTTTTTTTTTTTTCTGCAAATTTAAATCGAAAAAGACAGGACTAACAATCTAGAGATTATCTATCTTCACACATCCCAAAACTACAGAAGAGTAAGATAGGAGTGCTTACACTTGAAGTGAGGAAGCTCTTTGGAACTTGTTCAGAGTGGAGAAGAAGCTTGAAGGCTTTTGAAGTGAAGGCCGGATTTTTTGTTTCATCTCTCTTTTCGTGGAGATGATGAGAGATGAAGAAGAGAAGATGAAGCTATTGGATTTGGATTATATGCCTAAAGCATATTCTTATTTATTCCGTCCTATAAATTTTTATTTGTTAACTGGACTAAATTTAGCCGATTAAATTGGTAAATTGGGTTAAAAAAAAATCACAAAAACTATCTAGTAAGGCTAGCCCAATGAGAAGGCAAGCCCAATGTTGTTCTCAAGGAAATGTAAAAAATGGAAACACTCATATTACCTCCAATATTGAGATTCAGACATTGAGGGGGTTATTTGTTTGTGTGTGTTCTAGGAATGGACAAAAATGCTTTCCCTGCACCATGGCTCCACTTCTCCAAGTTCTAGCCAGTTACAGGTATTATAAATCATCCCAAGATAGATAGAGGCATTAGTGTTTTTTTTTGAAAATCTGATTTGTGTGACAAATGGAATGAAATGTGGAACAGGGCGTGTGGACATTGTGTATGGAGACAAGTAAACTGGTGTCCAAGTCTCTCCATGAGGAAGAACAAAGAACAAGTAGCTACTAAAGTATCAGCTTGATTTACATTAATGTCTTATGTGTTCTCCCTTTCTCTTTTTCCTCTTCTGTGTTCTTTATTATTATGCACACCCTCTCACTTTCATAGCTGTAACATTTCCATTAGAATGTTATGTATCACACCATCCTTTGTACTTATATCTTCCACGCATGATAACAAAAGCATAAATGATTAAACGAAAACCAAAAAAAAAAGTGTTTATATAATTTGAAAATATTAGGAAACTCAAAGTAAACGGTAGTAAAGCAGTCTGTTTCAGCCTAGCTTGAAATTGGCAAACATTATATATTTCCTTATATGTATATATAAATGTCTCTCTCTCTCAATGATTGTGGATAATAGTTTTCATAATATTCCTTCTTATCTATAGACTATAATCATTAGCCCCAGTTCCATTTGTTTGTTGTGGTTATAATCCCTTCCAGTCTTTCAACAGATAATATGTTCACTGGTTCATATGTGGCCATAGACACAAGATAAGACAAAAAAAAACGCTTTATTTACTTTCAATGGAATAGTGAACAATGCCGTGCATCAAACGATATCAACAGCCTCAGATTATTATTATAATTTACAGCTGATAAAATCATCACCAACTGGGTTTGCCTCAGTCTTCAACCTCAGTGTTGAAGATAAAACTTGGAAATGCCGTCGTCACATCCCTTCAAAATTTAAACAGCCATGTTAATGCTTATTAAGTAAAATCTATCATAGTTAAATTTAACAAAATAGAAGGAGATTTGGTACTTTAGGTAAGGAAGAGTCATGTTCTTCAACAAGGTCGGATACTTAAGCACATAAACTTTGTAAGCTCAAGGTTCTGAGCTGGATGATTGGAGTGTTACACAGACAGGAGACTGTGTCACACACGAGTAAGCTCAAGTTGAGTTGAGCGAAAAAGGCTGAGGTGTTACACAACGTGGAGCGAGTGTTACACCAAGAGCGAAATACAAGGAGCCGTTTGGAAGATAATGACCCAAGATTCTAGGATGTTTGTTAGGGAACAAACAAGAAGNATAGGATACGCAAGTATATATTGGTGATAGAGTTCATTAGCTAGGTTACGGCTTTGGGGATTTCAGATTGCTATCGAGCTTAAGTGGTCAAAGCTGCGATTTTAAGTGAGCAAGTGGTGAGGTCTGTCTCGACCACAGTGCATTTGGGTAGATTAAGAATTGGTCCGTCTCAAGTCAAGTTTGTGACGTTGAGTAAATCAGATTAAACAGATCTTGTAGGATTGTTTAAGTGATTCTTAATAAATCAAGTTAGTTTTCTTGGATTTGGTCAAGTGACTCTTTTGTGGTGCCCATACGAGATTTCATTTGGTATCAGAGCGGGTCACCTCTGTGGACGAGTTTGTCTACTTACAGGTTGAGATCCTGCAACAATCATGGAGACCATGAAAGAACTGGTGGCTTTGCAAAAACCCATCATGCTTGACGAAGGAAACTTTGGACATTGGAAGGCAAGGATGCGGCACATCATACGAGCTATTGACGAGGATGCTTGGACTGCTGTTGAACAAGGGTGGACTGCTCCAACAATGGTGATGGAAGACAAGTCTGTGGCACCCATGCCAAAGGAGAGATGGACTGACTCTGATAAAGCTGCATCTAAATTCAACTCAAAAGCACTAACAACAATCTTTTCGGCTGTCGATCTTGATCAGTTCAAAATCATTCAAGGGTGTGAATCTGCTAAAGAAGCGTGGGATACACTTATCAATCACTTTGAGGGAAACACAAGTGTGAGAAGGACAAGAATTGATCATCTTGCCTCAAAATTTGAGAACCTGAGAATGGAGGATGATGAATCAGTAGGAAGTTTCATCTCTAAAATCAGCTCAATTGCAAATGAGGCGTCTGTCTTGGGAAAGAAGTATAATGAGAAGAAACTTGTGAAGAAAGTCTTGAGATGTCTCCCTCCCAGATTTGAAGCTTACAAGGCGGTTCTTAAGATTGCTGTAAATACTGATGAGATGAAGTTTGATCAGTTGGCTGGAATTCTTAAAGTACACGACTTGGAGAGAAGTGAAGACACAGCTAAGGGTCAGAAAGGTGTTGCCTTCACAGCAGAAAACAAAGAAGAAGATAGAGTCAAGCGCATTGAAGAGAACATGAGCTTAATGGCTAAGAATTTCAACAAGATGATCAAAAGAGTAGAGAAGGGGAACTACCGCAATAGCAACCGGTTTCAAGGTAGAGAAGGGGATCGCCCTTCTGGACAGCAGAACAGAAGTGAAACGGGTAGAGGAAATCGCAAGAAAGACCTGAAATGTCATGAATGTGAAGGATTAGGTCACTTTCGGAGTGAGTGTCCCCTAGCTAAAAGAAGAGAGCTTAAGTGCATTGAGTGTAAAGGGTTTGGACATACAAGGAGTGAGTGTCCCAACAACCTGAAGAAAGATAAAGCTCTCCTGTCATTCAGTGATACCGAATCAGAAAGTGAGAGTGATGATGAAGAATTAATGCTTAATTTTGTTGCTCGTGTGGAACAAGATGACCTGCAAGATATTCTCTCAAGTTCAGATTCAGATTCAGACAATGATGACAACAGGAAAGATGTGGATCTGAAGTCAGAATTCAAGACTCTCTTTGACAAGTTTACAGAGTTGAGNTGTCATTCAGTGATACCGAATCAGAAAGTGAGAGTGATGATGAAGAATTAATGCTTAATTTTGTTGCTCGTGTGGAACAAGATGACCTGCAAGATATTCTCTCAAGTTCAGATTCAGATTCAGACAATGATGACAACAGGAAAGATGTGGATCTGAAGTCAGAATTCAAGACTCTCTTTGACAAGTTTACAGAGTTGAGTCTTGAAAATCTGCAGCTGATCAAGGACAAGGCGATGCTTAAGGAACAAGTCAACATACTTGAACTAGACACGTCGACTACTGGAGGAAAGAGTACAGCAGAGGTCTTGCAAACTGAGAAGAGCCCAGATATACAGCTTCTTGAAAAAACCGTCACAGATCAGGCTTTCTCATTGAAGAATTTGGAGACCAAGTATGATCAAGCTATGGGATTGCTGAATGAGGAACTTGAGAAGAGCCGCCTATTACAAAGGGATCTGAACGACAACTACAAGAAATTGAGGATGCTAAACAATGGATCAGATACTTTGGATCACATTCTCTCACTCGGACAAAATCCAAAGTTTGCCCTGGGATTAGGTTATCAAGGATATCGAGGTTCAAGCAGCAAAGATGCAACAGACGTCAGGTTCGTTAGAAGTGGAGGATCAGAAAACATTGAGTCAGAGAAAGAAGCCATACCTCAGAAGACAGCTGATAAATCCGTGAGAAAACAACCACTACATAGGCGCAATGGCTGTCACTTCTGTGGCAAACAAGGACACAGAGTTGCATATTGCTACTTTCGGAAAGCTCAATATCAGCGAGCATGGTCACTTCACAAATGTCACATTGAACCAAGCCGGGTTGGACATGTCTGGATCGCCAAAACCGACCTGTACCCTAACTTTAGAAACAGATCACCAACTCCTTCCAAGGTGGTTGATACAGAAGTTTTCCAACAGAGACCAGGAAAAGAAGTGGTTTGTAATATGGTGGTAATTGAGGAGTATTGCGAAGAAGACATTGCTTCTGTTCCAAGTCTCGCCAAGGTAGCTTTCACCTCCACAGAAGAACACACTGTTGTTGAGATACCATGGTACTTTGATAGTGGGTGCTCAAGGCACATGACAGGTAATGAAAAATTCTTGACTATCATGGAACCGATCAAGGAAGGTAGAGTGATTTTTGGTGATGGTGGAGAAGGTAGAATCCGTGGAGTAGGGCATATGGAGAGAGCTGATCTACCAAGACTTAGGAACGTCTACTATGTAGAAGGACTCAAATCAAATCTTATTAGCATCAGTCAGTTGTGCGACGAGGGTCTTCAAGTCATATTCAACAACCGAGAATGCCAAGCAGTTGATCCACAAAGGAGTCTTGTTATGTGCGGATTTCGATCAAACAACAACTGTTACTTCTGGAAGCCACCGAGCAAGTGTCTGTCAGTAAGAGATTCGCAGATGGATTTGTGGCACAGAAAACTTGGACACATGAATACTAATGGCCTCTCAAGACTCGTGCGTGCAGAGGTGGTTCGAGGTGTTCCTAGTCTAGAAGACCATTCTGACACTGTGTGTGGTGCTTGTTGCCAAGGTAAACAAGTCAAGGTCCAACACAAACAGGTATCTCAAATCCATTCTAAATCTATCTTGGAATTGATTCATATGGACCTTATGGGTCCTATCTCACCTGAAAGTATTGCTGGAAAGCAATATATTTTTGTGTTAGTTGATGATTTTTCCAGGTTTACATGGGTGAGGTTTCTAAGAAAGAAGTCGGATGCTATTGAGAGTTTCAGGATTCTCGCACTTCAACTCAAGCAAGAAAGAGGAGGAATCATTAAGATCAG